TCCTCCACTCCTCATTCTCTCTCTCTCCCACATTCCTCGCTCTCTCTCTCTCACATTCCTCACTCTCTCACCTATCTCTCTCCTCTCTCTCTCTCTCTCTCTCTCTCTCTCTCTCTCTCTGTGACTCATCCACTAGCAGCTTCCATTCCCCAGAAAGTGTGTAGTGAATGCCAAGACGTTGATATATATACAAATTGGCTGTGTCTCATGAGCTCTGGCCAGCCGAGAGAGAGAGAGAGAGAAAGAAAGAAAGAAGAAGAAAGAAAAGAAGACTGAAATAATAACAGGCACTAAACAATAACAGCCTGAAGTCGGTGCGTCTTGAGAGTTTATTTTTGTGTGTAATTTTTTGTGTGTTGGAGACCCGAAACCAACCAACAGCCGCTTCAACCAGCCAGTCAGCCAACCAGCCAACCAACCAACCAACCAACCAACCATCCAGCCAACCAGCCAACCAATCATCAAGAAGACACCCCAAAACACAAAAGAAGTTTACCCCAACACCGCTAGACACACAGCCAACCTACACCATGGTATAACGAGGTCGATGGTATTAGGTTAGGTTATTTTTCAAGTTTGTATTTTAACTCTACATGACCACAGTAAATAGATCTGACATATGGTAATGAGAGGTGTGTTGGTCTTCAGGTGAGTCTAGTTACCTTTAGAGAGTTTGTGAAGGTAATCGGCAACTCGCACCAGTTCACCCAGCCTCCTTCAACACTGAGTTAATAAGGCTGGATAATTAGGTAGTTATAATTAGCATATTAATTAACCTGGCAACAGCGTCTTATAAAGTGACTTAGCTGATGTTATATGGAAGTTGAATTTTTTTTATATGCTCCTTTTAATATAATCTACATAATTTAAGGTCACCTATGTATAATTTATGTAGTCTATAGAGATAATAATAATGATAACAATAAAATTAAAATCACATTATGAAAATACAATTCTCATTAAAATTAGATATACCAAAAAATAAAAATAAAATCTGAGAGTCATTTTTAGGGACTTAATTCCGGGTCGTCAACAGTGTGTTTTTTCCTTTAATATATGTGTTGACTTTATCCTGAGTCACCATAGATTAACCTGGTATTAATAAAGGTTAAGTGAGGTCCCTGTAGGGGTGTGAAGGCACGATGGTGTGGGTGTTGACGTGGTGTTACTGCTACTTTTACTGTTGTTACTGTTGCTTTGTTACTGTCGTTGCTGTTGTTACTGCTACTGTTGGTGCTACTTTACCATATAAGAATTAAAGACATTGTCCTGCCACACAGAGAATAGTTTTTATTATTGTGTTTTTCTCTGTATTTCTCTATGATCATCTCTCCCTCACCTCCCTCTCCTCTCTTTCTCTTGTTACTGATCTTTTCTTCCATCCTGTCTCTCTCATTCTTCCTCTGTCTTTCTATAATTCCTTCCTTCTCTCTTTTGCGTCTTTTTCTTCTTCCACTCTTATTCCCTATTCTCTTGTCTGTGGTTTATTCTCTCCCGTCCATGTTCTTCCCTCCTTCAGCCGTCCCTTCTTCTCCTCTTCTGTATGTTTTCTCTCCTTCTTTCTTCGTGTTTCTCTCTTCCTGTGGTGGAGTTTATAAATAACTTGTAACACACCTGAGATTACCTGGCCGGTTTAACCCATAAATTAAGTAGTGTTTAAAGGGATATACACACATACATACACACATACAGGTATATATGTACACACACACACATACACATAAACATACACACACACACACACACACACACACACACACACTGGGATCACCTGATGATTAAACAGGTTAACACTACCTGAGTGATTAGATTAACTTAGTTTAATCCAGGACAATACATTTCATAAACTCATATAAATATTTAATTAATTAAAAAAAAGTCATATTTCCTCTTTTGGGAAATTAGGTAAAGTTTATAAAAATTCAACAGCCATGAAGATTGTCATCACCCCATACTCACCCCCCATACTCACCCCCCAAAAAAAAAAAGATAAGAATATTGAAGCAATTCATTAAGTAAAAATAAGCAGACTGCTGATAATGATGACATGTCCAAAAATCTAATTAGCGAAAATGAATGAAATTTGAAAAAGAAAAATCGCATCGTCAGACCTTGAACGTTAGGTAAAGATAATAAAAAAAAAATTCGAACACTTCATTAAGAAACAAAAAATTGTGAATGCATTGTTAACGATGACAAAACATTCTGGAAATTAATTAGCCAAAATGAATTGATTGTAGTGGGAGAGGAGCTTCGGTTATCATGGCTCTGCTATCTCGCTATCTGAGGTAAAAATTCTCCTCCATGACAAGGGCAGAATTCTGGCAAGGTATTTGTTTATGGTGGGGCGGTGTGTGTGTGTGGAATCTAACGGGAGGGGAGGTCGGTGGAGGGGGTTCTTATCGGTGCGTTATCAGTAGGTATTGATGGCCGGGGGCGCGACAGGCAGGAGATAAAGACGATATGATATGTTACTACTATTTCTTGTCGTCCTATTCTGACTTGCTAATGGTGGGTGGGTGAGAGACAGATGGCAAGAACGATGGTGGTAGGTTCTGTACACACAAGTCTCAGGGTATGGTGACTGTGGTAGTGTGGTGGTGGTGGTGCTAGTGTTGTGGTAGAGTCTCATAAGAAGCACATGGTAGGGGGGGGGGTAGGAGGAGGGGGTATTAGATAAGGTTCAGGGGATATGAAGGAGTGTCAAAAAGGTCTGGTGAGGTTCCAGTGAGCAGTGATGCCATTGAACTAGCACGCAGTTCCTGTACAGTCACCTGCATTTATACCTGGTACAGTGGCTGGTGTGTTTTATGAGATATGGCAACTCTGTGGAATACTTTTCTAGCATCCTTTAGTCTGGTTACTAAGATGAGATTCATTAAGGCCATTCTGGGAGTTTTAATACGATGTAGACAAACACAGAGGTGCCACATCTCACAAAACACACCAACCACTGTACCAGGTGTAACCGCAGGCGAGTGTACCTTCCATACTAGGCTGTGGCAACCGTGTAGCATATTGACATTGATGAGCCGGAAGCCGGTTTTGAATTTCTTACACTAATGTAATGAGCTGTGAGGATAGTGAATCATGAACCATTTTCTGGACTTTTAATATCTATTCTAGGGCTCAAGAGCCGTTACCCGGACTGTGTCGTCGTGGAACCAGAGGCCATTACTTGACCATATAATGTTTATTGCAGGACTGAACCACCGTAGAACCACAAACCATATTCTGGACTGTATCGAAGGCGTGGCAGAGGACAGACGGCGGCTCTTGTGTCGTCTTTGAGGGAACAACAACATTGACTCGGCCCGAAAGATCAACCTACTAAGGGTCGAGTCATCTTTTTTGTGGGTGTTTTTCCTCGTAAGTTATAGGGTGTGTTTTGTCGCAAATTAGATTAGTTACATGTACCTGTCTGGCCGTGAGAGAGAGAGAGAGAGAGAGAGAGAGAGAGAGAGAGAGAGAGAGAGGAAAATTGAGAAATAAAATTGAAAAAGAAAGAAAGAAAGAAAGAAGGAAAGAAAGAAAGAAAAGAAAGAAAGGAAGGAAGAAAGAAAGAGAAACCAGTTATTAGAAAGCATCAACAGATCAACTCAGTAAAGAAAGTTTGGAGAGAAATTTAAAATGAACTTCTAAATATAATTCTGGTCGCCACAGTTACCACATTATCACTTTCACTCGAGAACTTATAATAATCATCCGAAAGGATTAGAAAATTAGCCTTGGAGAAAGTGCTTTATTAAGTCGAGGTGTAGGATAATACAAGGAATAAATCTGTATCTACAAGAATACATCAATAAATCTACAATAAATTAAGTGGTTTAAAATACATCTACACGAAGTAATCTATTAGAATACATCCAGGAAAGAAGTAGTTTCCGGAACCATATCTGAATAAATCATTAATGAAGTCAGAAAAGTAATTTAATCTAACGTAACAATATTTTTTTGTCATTAATTAGGTTAGATTAGTTGAAGTCATTTTCTTTCAGATTTTTTTCTCTCTGACGTCAATACTGGTTTAGTCAGATACTTTACACGTGTCACCGTCCACGTACATATAAAATATACTCAAGAAAACACTATGTGAAGAAAAAAACTATTATTTTTATCATTATTATTACTATTATCCACTCAATTAAGTCACTTTCTATATAATATTTTTTTATATATGTAATTTTCTTTTTGGGGATAACTCAATTAAACGAAAAAAATCATCAGTAAATGTTGATGGTGTTTTGGTAGGCGTGTGTGTCTTTATAAGCCTTTGTTCTCTGATATGGTTTAAAAATAATAAAACAAAAAACTGAAGAAAAACACGATGGCCCTTCTGATGTTAAACCAAGAATCATAACTCAAAAATAGAATAGAAGAAAAAATTAAATAAATCAGAGAAAATAAAAACAAAATATAAAGAAAACGAGACATTAGATAAATCTTATTCTCGACTTTCCCCTTACGAGATAACATCTTCCTCATGAGGTAAGAAGATAATGCTATGATAAAGAGTCCATAAGGTGGTAAGTCATTGGTAGAAAATACAAAACTCCACCTTTATGTTAGGAGCATCTTAATCCTTAGTCTTCCCTGTGTGTTGAAGAAGCCACATCTTGACAGGATTCCACAATTCGTCTTCTTTATAATTTTAAAACCATCTTCTACTCCAGGGTGAAGATGATAAGTGAAAGAAGAATATTCACTTCTCTCAAACATTGAAATCAAGAAAGAACAAGTGTCAGATAAACTGGATTAAACGTTTTAGAACATGTCAAATAAATCAATTGGATATACTCACTTCATACAGACATACAGACATACACTCACTCACACTGTTGTTGTAGTAGAGTGACACTAAATTAAATTCTCATCACGGGGACTGATATATTTTGAGTGATGGTTTTAAACGTCAATGACAAGCCAACAGCAGTGGCTGGACGCCGGGAGCCTCTGTGTTGGGTGGAGAGAGAGAGAGTTGGTGTTTGTGTCATTATTATTGTGTGTGTGTGTGTGTGTGTGTGTGTGTGTGTGTGTGTGTGTGTGTGTGTGTGAAGGAAAGTTTAATTCAGGTAAACAAGAGGTGGTGAGTAAGCTGTGAGGGACTGTACACCCCTCAAGGATGCTTCAGAACCAATGATCTTCATTCCCTCATATCCACACGTAGTTCACCCCCCTACACACATAACTCACTCCCACACCCACACCCACACACCACACACACACACACACACCCACCCACACACACACACCACACCCACACACGTCGCCTACAGTAGACAGGAACAAGTCCCCCATGAAGTACATAGGATATGACCTTATCCAGAGAGGTCAGAAGGTATCCAGACATTATGTGAGAGGAAGGTGAGGAACAGGAGGCAGCATCAACCTCCCTCCTCCTCTGTTACTACCTCCCAATCCCTTCCTTCTTTCGCCCCTGACGTAGAGGAGACGAATCTTAGGGGGAAAACATATTATCTCTTTTAATTTAGACAACGCTGAGGAGGCTGACTTTCTTGTCGTTAATCTCCTTAAACTTCTTGAAGATGACCTCGAGGGAAGCGACGTCTGGGGTGCTGGAGCCGGGAATGTTAGCGATCGTCTCCGTCAGCCCTTCTGTCACCTTCTGGAGTTCAGCCCAGGTATCACATAGCTCCTGCACCTGTTATGAGGGGTGAAGGGAGAGAGTTTAAATAAAGGTTTCTTTTTAGATCACTGTTGTCACCATTTATTGGTTTGTGTTTTGGGCCACTATTACTGAAATGTCACTATCACCAACAATCACCATCACCAATATTATTAGTCATTTGGGCTATTGTTTAATTCATCACCATCAGCAGTCATTCTGAAGTCATAATATTTACCTACAGTTGCCATCATCTATACCACCAGCACCACCACCACCACCACCAGCATCACCACCAGCACCACCACCAGCACCACCACCACCACCCTGTAAGTATCACCATCGCCTCACCTTCGTCACTCGTTCGTCAGCAATTTTCTTCACCAAATTCCAGCGTCCATTAAGAGTCTCTACCTCATTGTCAGCTTTGGATTGTTTCTCCATCTTGGACCTTGACTCTGAGGCGGCGTCCAACTTGCCCTTATTTTCCTGGCAGGCGGTGTCGAATTGCTGTGAGAGACGAGAGAAAACAAGCGTTAATGTCTCGTGTCGTGAGCTGTGGTGTGTGTGTGTGTGTGTGTGTGTGTGTGTGTGTGTGTGTGTGTGTGTGCGTGTGTGTGTTAGGTTATCCGCCGGTGCTCGTTTTCTTTAGTGCTTTAAAATGTAATATTCTTTTTGACGAGACAATTTCCATTTATATAACTTTGAAAGACCTTATTTCACACGTGAGTATTTATCTAAGCCATATTTCACTCCTACTTAACTCTAAAAAGATTCAATTTAGTCCTAATTACCCTCAATTACCTTATATACCTCTAATAATACCGCCACGAACCTACACTTTAAAGGCTTGTAAAAACCCTTCTTGGTTGTATCAGCGCCCCCTACCTTGTCAAGCTCAGCGCCCCTTACCTTCACTTCTTCCAGGAGTTTCATGGCGTCCTCCAGCTTGGCCGGCTTCACTAGCACGGTCTTGGCCACGGTCTCAGACTCTTCCATCCAGGGCTTGAAGTTCTTGACGCCGTAGAGGTACTCGGCGAAGTACTTCTGATCCTGGGTGATGGAGCCAGCTTCGATCTCCACCTTATCATGCAGCTCTTGGATGGTGTCCTTGATGGTGTTGTACTCCCTCATGTGACCCAAAGCTGTCTCGTTGGTCTGCCCTTCCTCGTTCTCTGGTGGAGGGAGGCACAGTAAGGCCACACCGTAAAGCCAATACCGAAAGGAGAACTAAAAACATGCACCATCAAGACTATAGTCGAGCTTTAACGTTCACACACACTACGTAAGTTAGAACGAAGGATTCCTACGTTATAACTTTAAGGAATTGAGTCTCTTTCGAAGCTGTGTCATACGGAGTCAGATCAACCCAACCAAACCAAAATCTACCTCAGCCTAACCAAGATTATTATTCTTATCTTCTGTCAGGTAAGTTGAGGTCATAAAATTTTGGTTGTGTGAGAAAAAATCCAGCACCACAATGCCTTAGAACCAAGACTCATAAAGACTTCAGGATTTCCCTTAATAAGTGTGATGTCATTTAACCAGATCAGTTCCTGGGGCCTTGTTTTTAACTCCTTCCAGCTGCCAGCTGTACATCTAACTAGACTAAATAAAAACACTAATTTTTCCTCATAATGAAAAAGGTGAAAAATTTTATGAAATATTCACTACATAATCTTTTGGGACGTTTTCTTGGTCTTTTATTAACCTCTACAGCAAAATTAATTCCCCGGGGCTAATCTACAACGACGATAATTGTGATTAATAATAAAAAAAAACAACATAAGTATTTCGTCTTTTTTTTTAGAAATTATTAAAACAAAAATGCGATTGTGTTAGAGGTAAATTTCCATGCATTCTGTATAAATTTGCATACAAATATATATTTGAATTCATTAAGTACACATTTGCATACATTAGTCATAAATTTGCATACATTATTTATATATCTGCATTCATTATATATACCGTTATATTTGCATGGAGATATAAGTAAATTATACAACAGGTTAAAGAAATTATAAAAAAATGCATACCGAAGCGCCAAATTATTAAATAAATGAATAAGTAAATAAAATAAATAATGAAATATGTGAATAATTAAGTAAACAAATTATTCAATAAAGTCTCCATCAACAAGGAAAAATAGTATAAAAAATTAATAACGAAAAAACACAAATTATTGAAGAAAATAATAATGAAAAAGGGTTGGAAATGAGTTGATAAATATAAGAATAAATAAATAAAATAAATAATATATAATAAACAGGTAAACAGAGAGAAGTTGATAAATATATATAATGACAAAAATAATTCAATAAAGAATAACAAAAGTGAAACAAAATATAACACAAATTACCAATAAAGAAATTAGTTAGTTTACATATTGTAGAAAGAGGCAAGACAAGACGAGAATAAAGATGGTGGTCAAAGAAAATAATAAATTCCCGTAGAAACATAGGATAGGAAGTTGATAAAAAAATTTGTATAACTTAAAAGATAAAACTGGTTATATAATAAATATCTCAAGTATATATGTATGTGATATATAACTTGAAGAAACATAAGAAATAATACTCATATAAACATTATATTAATTGACTTTTGGGTTTTTAAATATATATTATATATTCTAACAATGCAATCAAGTGAGAATATATGTGTATTAGTATTATATATTTATACCAGGGATATAAACCACCTATATCCCTGGTCTGGTCATGAGTACATTTGATGTTAGCAATTTAGTATCAACGAATTCACGATTTATTTAAGTTTGTCAGTAATATTAACAGAATCAACAACAAACAAAGTCTTTAAATAAAAGTAGATTAATCCCATCAAAGGCAAAATTAAATAAAAGCTGAAAATAATTGAATAAATCAATAAATGTAGACGAAAATAAAAGATAATAATATTCAAAGCTGCGGAGGCTGTTATAAACGGAATAATTCCTCTTCGTTAAACAATAGTTTTTAGAGCAGGAAAATAAAAGAAAAATTTAAATGAAAGCCCAAAAAAATAAAAATAATCCAAAAAAAAATGTTATTCATCAAACTTTTTTTTATTTTACCGTATATATATTTTTTTCACCGATAAAAGTTTTCATTTCCTGAGCGGTGTAGCGGTCAAGACGGTGTTATCACAGTTGCTGGAACGAGAGGGAGAAACACGCCAATAGAGTAGATGGGATCACTGTGAAGAGGAGCATTCATCTACTGCACCACGCTAAGAAATATGACCACCAGACACTTACCTCTTCAACTACCTCTTAGAAATTGTACAGAGGTTGAAGGAGGGAAATTTATATTGTAATAATGTAGTTTCTATGACCACTGACATCATCCGTGTTTTGTGAGTATGAAGAGTGCTGACCAGTGACATCATCCGTGTTTTGTGAGTATGAAGAGTGCTGACCAGTGACATCATCCGTGTTTTGTGAGTATGAAGAGTGCTGACCACTGACATCATCCGTGTTTTGTGAGTATGAAGAGTGCTGACCACTGACATCATCCGTGTTTTGTGAGTGAGAAGAGTGCTGACCAGTGACATCCTCTCGTGTTATAAGTACAAGAATGAGTCACTCTGGAGCTCACAACACAAAATTATGTCATGTGATTTTCATATCCATAAATTACATTACTGTTATTGCGAAACGTTCCACACCTCTGTAGCAATTCATTAATAGACATTGGAGGTAATACTTATAAAAAATATTCTCATGAAATACCATAACAAACAATATCATGATATTAATAAAGTCATGAATGAAAAGAGCCAGCCATGAGTACTATGCTTAGGTCGACTCTCTTGTGTTAAAAACTGATTATCTAGATCCTTGATAAAAATAGCCAGAGGGAGCCCTAAAAACACGCCCAGACTCACCGTTCATAGCCAAGTGTGTGTCAGGTTGTATAGTGATGATGGGGCAGAGCTTTAAGAGATAATGGACAGGTGTTTTCATCCTAACACACCTGTCGGGATATGTTTGGGGAAGAAATAAAGAAAGTTGTTTACAGGTCGTATCTATGAATGTATGTAGGTAGATGCAAACAATATAACTCAGTACACACACACACACACACACACGCACATGTGATATAGTCATGTATGTTGTCTGTGGTCATAGTAGTGTGTATGAATATGTCTAGTGGTGGCTATTGAGTGTGTGGAGGTAGGCATTCACTATACACACACTATACATATAATATTCATATACAGTGCATATTGTGTAAGACTGTGTGTTTGATTTTTAACGTAGAAGAGGCTATTTTGGCGCCTATGAGTATATATGAGACGTTAATGTGTCTCTATGTGTACTAAAGACGTTAATATGTGTCTGTATGTGTACCAAAAACGTTAATATGTGTCTCTGTGTGTACCAAAGACGTTAGTATGTGTCCGTATACGCACATGAGACGTTAACAGTGTGCTTATGTGAGTACAGAACACGTCAAGATTTTATTGTCAAAAAAAACAAAATTTCACCTTTATATGCAAGACTTATCGTATGGTTTCTTAATACTAACATATACACATGAACCAAGTCTAATACGAGACAAATTTATCACCTAAATTAACTACTCGCGACAGTGTTACCATAACATGAATTCATCTGCGCCAGGTATGTAAAGTGTTACCAATGGCGAAGTCTACCAAACATGCAGTATTACCAGAACCTGTGACTTGATTACCTACCTTCACCTGTTGATGATGTTGATGATGTAGAGGAGGTGTTGATGGCCCACGGCAGGTACAGAGAGGTAGATGATAAAAAGGTAAATAAACAATGTACAACATCATGTTTAATGGAAGAGGAAAAAGTTAAAGAAAATGGAAAAAAGATTGATCGGTAACACGGATAAAAGTATATCCCATGAAACCTAAACGACAATTAGAAAAAATTGTATCGGTAAAATTATTCATCTCAAACGAGTAAAAAAATGTGAGATTAGAATAAAAGAGAAATAAATAAAAAGTTGCATAATATAAAAATACTTAAGGGATAGAATGAAGGAACGGGCGAGGGAGGAGTACAGAGAGTTTACATTAAGGTTAAATTACAAAGCTCACTGTGGGGGAGTGTGTAGTGCGTCGGTGAGCCACTGTACGGTCCAGGGTTCGCTCCCTGCCTGACCACACCCTGGGTGACTGGTTCTAAGGTGGGCTGAAGGTGTAGGTACAGAGTTCCTTCAAATGATGTTCCTGTTTCAAGTGTTGACCTGAGTAACTTTTACACCAAAGTGAGAAGCTTATACCCTACCAAGTGGGGGGGGGGGGCACTCCACAGGAGGGGGAAGGGCACTTTTAATGAGAGGGAGTTGCCACTCCGTATTATGGGGAGGGAGAGTGAGGCATACCAAATGAGGGAGAAGGGCACTTCACGTGAAGAGGGAGGGAGAGAGGGGAGGGAGGGAGGCGTTACCTATTACGCCCAGTCACAAGTCTTGAGGTCGTGTTACCGGGGGGCTCAAAAGTACAGGTGAATCTTACTACTTTTTAAGGGAGAATAAATAATATTGTTGGATATTTTTTAGTTATAATATAAGAACCAAAGAGCGAGGATTATATATGACTCGCTGTTAAAGCCACACTGTTTGTTCCTTTATATTACAGATGTTTCTGGGAAAACCTGTGTTGTGAAGAGGTCCTTGAAATGTTTCCTCGGTAAAATATTATTAGAAGGAAATGTATATTGTTATATTATGCGGAGATATATGTTTGTGGAAATAAAATAGCGTAAACTGGATTATATAGCAGAGTTGTATTACAAGATTGAAATAGTTTATTAAGGTATACAACAAACATATAGTGAATACTGGGTTATGAGAGAGACGGAGGAAGAGAAGCAGGGGGGTAGGGGAGGAGGGAGGGAAGGAAGGAAGGAAGGAGAGAAGGAAGGAAGGGAATGAAGGAGGGAGGAATGGTTGAAAATTATACGCATGAACTTTGCCCCCCCCAAAAAAAAATCACAACAATAATACCAAAAATAGATCTTTTATACTAAACAAAAAATAGAAGGTAGAGAATGTTAAGAGGGAGAGTGACAGAAGGACACATTAGAACAACGAAGGAGTTAAATACTGGTAATAGGAACACGAGAAAAAGATACAATTTAAATCAGGGACATCAATTAATCTCTGCCTCCTAGCTTACTGTGGTAATGGGGAGGTTTCCAGATATTGTTTTTGGTTGTTTTCCATGCACAATCGGGATGGATTTAGTCTGTGTGTACTTACCTTCGACGACTGTTAATGAGAGTATCATGATGGTCATTGTTGGTGGGTGAGGTGAAGATGGCAGTCACCGGTGATCCGAGGAAACAAATGGGGGAAAAATAGAAAAACAAAATTGAACATAAAACAGGAAAATAAACTCGAGAATTATTTGATTTTGGTTTTGTATTCTGATTTCACTGGAGTGAGAGTGATTGTATTTCTTTCTTTCTTTCTTTCTTTCTTTCTTTTTTCTTTCTTTTGTTAAATTTGTATCGTTAAATTTTTTTTAGTTTAGTTAAAATTTCCGTAATGTTTCAATTTCTAAATGACTTAAAAATCAGAGGTTCCTTTTAAAATAAAATCCCAAAGATTCTAAATTAGAAATCTCCAAACATTTAATTCTGAAATTCCCAGCATCTCCACCATAAATCCTAAATTCTTCCACCAGTAATTCCCAACTTCTGAATAAAAAAAAAATCCCTCAAATTCCAAAGTAGAAATCCTCCATCTAAGAAATAAATAATCCCTTCTTTAGCATCTGTATCAAAAAATCCCTCAAAGTAGAAACAAATTGTAAAAAAACCCTCAGCTATTATTTACACATTTCACTCCAGAGAACTTAGAATTAATTATTTGTTGTAACTAGTAAAAATAGTTCTGACTAGTAGCGATGAAATAAATAGCAAATGCTGCAAAAAATTATAAACAAACTCAAATGGAAGGATGAGTCGGGTGTTTAATCCATAGTACATTGTGTCATTTAAACTCTTCTACAAGGAAGACAAAAAAAAAATACATGGCGTTCATATGTCCATTAAAAAAACTAAAAAAAAAAAAAACATATATTTTTTTATTTAGTGGAAAAAAATGTTGAATTATTAAGCGAAAATTGGAATGGTAATAATAGTTATAATAATAATAAATCTTAGTAATATTTTATTTAATTATTAAGTGTTTTAAGGGGGAAAACAAAATAAGGGAAATAAACAAAGGGTGATGATAAAAACATGCTAGAATATATTAAATAAAAGCGAAGCAAAGAAAGCAATAATAAAAAAAATTATAACAAACAAAAAATAAATAAAAGAACAAAACAAAAACAATGATATGAATTATTCTGATGAGTTTGTGTTTTGAGAAGATAAAAAAATAAACTCTCTAAATGGATCTTATAACTTTTGTGAGCAGAAAAAAAACTCACAAGAAATCACAAGCTGGTGGGGATACTTACCTTTTGTGAGTAAGACCATTATGAGTTAAAATGGTCTAGACTAGTGGACAGACTTCAATTTGTGAGATATTTTATGAGTTTGTGAGTTCTATCCAGGACTCTATCACGCGTCCATCCATAGATCCAGTTTTCAAAGTCTATTATGAGTCAGTGAGATCTAGTGGGAGTCATACACGTCTATTTTAAGTCACTAAGAATGCTATAAGTTTGTTGTGAGTCGGTAGAGCTATAGTGAGTATGAGTCACTGATTTATGAGTCCGTGAGATCTATTTTGAGTCTATAGCATCTTTTATGAGCTTAACTTCAGTCTATGTGAGTATGAAGCTTCGTATGAATCAGTTAAAGCAATAGTGAGTCTACTATGAGTCTATGAGGTTACATTGAGTCATTCGTGAGTCTATTGTTAGTATATTGTGAGTATAATGAAAAACCCCTCTATTTATCTGTCTAAAGCATTATCAAACAAGTCTCTCCAGTAACAAGGTAATGATTTTTATATATCGTAGAAATATATCCGAATTATATCACTAGTATACCATCAGGATATATCGCTATGCCGAGAATAATCATAAGAATAAGTATATTATATGAGTGGCAATAAATAACAGCTATATACCTGTTATATAATAAATGAAAGAATTATACCGATATGATTACAAAAAATTACAAAATATACTTTAGAATTTAAGCTAATAAGTATATTGTTCCTTGTTGCTGGTTACTTATTACTTAAAAACTTACCTTAAATGTTGTTGTATATTCCTTAAGTAATGGAGATTTAGAGGTCGGGAAAAGTATAAGGGTATGTAAGTATGCGGAGAAAAGTTTAAGTAATTATGAATGAAATGACATGAAATAAGATAACGAAAATGGAGAGATGAAGAAAAATGAGACAAAATCGAACAAAAATTAAATGAAATGAGACTAAAAAAAAACACTGAATAAATGGAAGGAATAAACAGACATACAAATTAAGGATAGACCACCTCACTCCTCCATGGACACTAATCTACTCTCCCAGGTAACTCCCAGGTAACTCCCAGGTAGCTTCCATTATTTCTCGTAAGTTTTCCCACATCTTTACGATCACGTCGACTTACCCGGAACTGTCAATGAAAAAAAAAGAACAAAAAAGTTACGGTATATTGTTAGTAAAGATGACAGCAGGTGAAATACAGGTAAATGCTTAATTAATCATATGTAGGTTAATGTTTCTCAGGTAAATTAGTTATATGATTCAGTTAATTATTTTTCAAATGAATATTTAACTTAGAGAGAGAGAGAGAGAGAGAGAGAGAGAGAGAGAGAGAGAGAGAGAGAGAGAGAGAGAGAGAGAGAGAGAGAGAGAGAGAGGGGTCTGGTCATATAAAATTGAGAATGCTATAACGAACGCAACTCCTACAACGAACGCGGATGAATACGGGACTACTTCACCTGGCGCATGAATATTGTTGTACAGCGACCACAACAAGAGCGTCAGGCGCCATCTTTGTCTCATTGTGCACCAGTGTTATTGTTGAAATTTCGTCTTTTGATGTGGAAATTCGCGTTATTTGTATAACTATTTTGTTATACAAGTATACAATTGTAACAATGAGTCGTCCAAAGCGAGTGAGAAAGCTAATAACCCTTGAAACTAAGAAAGAAATTGTAAAGAAACGTGAGAATGGAAGAAGCATTGTGAAACTTAGTGATGAATATGGGATGGCTAAATCGATTATATGTACGATTTTGAAGAATAAAGAGGAGTTAAAAACTGTGCAAGTGGCTAAGGGAATCTTTAGACTTAGCAAAGCAAAGTGTAATGTGATTGAAGAGATGGAAAATTTACTCTTAGTGTGGATAAAGGAGAAAGAAATGGCAGGTGGTAACATTAGTGAAGCTATAATTTGTGAGAAGGCTAAACAATTGTTTGAGGACCTTAAAGCCAAGACTCCCAGTGGAAGTGATAGTGATGTGCCAGTGTTTAGGGGTACCTGCATGCTGAATAACACTAAGGTAAGATAAAGTACCGTATTTTTTACATTTTCCACAGAATTTTTTCAGTGTTAAGTGGTTGTATTTGGGGGCCTGGAACGGATTAATCCTATAACGAACGAATGCTATAACGAACGAGGTTCTGGAACCAATTACGTTCGTTATAGCATACCCCCACTGTATATAAAAAAGAATGAAATTAATAGAAAGAGAACAAGAGGAATTAATGAAAAACAAGATAAATAAAGAGGGAGGAGGAGCATGAAGAGAGAGGCATAAGAAGAGGAGGAGGAGGAGGAGGAAGAAGTACTTACGGTCGAGGAGGGCGTGAGCTTCTGCTTCTAGTGGCTCCAGTAGCGGCTGTCGCTCAGTCACCTGTAGGGAGTATCAAGGTCACGTGAGGTCAGGGTTAGATTATGTTAGGTTAGGTCATTTCAGGTCAGGCCAGATTAGGTTAGGTTAGGATTAGGCGAGGTCAGGTTAGATTTGGTTATGTTAAGTCATGTTAGATTAGGATTTTTTTTTTATTGGGCACTCCCCTACATCCTTGTGTAAGGTGAAGCGCAGAAGCGTTTACAGCGCCCAACAGGGAAGCACGCTAAATTCATGCTTGCCTTTATGTCTCATGAGTTAAGGGCGTAGAAGTTATGTTAAGTCATGTTAGATGAGGTCAGATTAGGTTAGGTTAGGTCATGTCAGGCGAGGTCAAGTAAGGGCAGGTTAGGTTAAATTTGGTAAGATCTTTTGTGCATACATATACACATACTGTGCTTATATAGACACATTATAAACATTTACTGTATACAAACACACAAGCTATTTACGGGTCCTGTACACGTATGGACACAATATTAAAACATCCTATATATACACAAACACACTATTAATATTTGTTTATATACACAGATAGTCGCTTAAAATTTATATATACACAGACAAACTATTAACATACACTAAATCAGTATCGTGCCACATTTGACCCCTTGTTTTGAACCCTTGTAAGGAATGAACCACGAACTGGGTCAATGGTCAAACAGGGAGTGACTGAAATAACAGATAGTTAAGGTCACCTGATAATTGACCCCCGCAGCTTATTTCACCTGGTAATAAACACCCGAACACAATCTGGAAGTGGCTAGATTATGTTAGATTAGGTTAAGTTAGGTTAGGTTAAGCTAGCCTTCAGGAAGTTGGTTAGATTAGGCTAGATTAGCGTTAGGGAGGTCAATCTTAATGTATAATAAGCTGAAGGTTGTTTGTTCAGGCTATACAATGATCTGTTACTACTGACGGAAGTTCTCATAATGGAGATGAACTCAAAGATAATAAACAAAGTCTTTAACGCCGAGCCAATCCAGATCTCCTCTTGCCCTCACCTGTCCCTGGAGGTCGAAGATCTCTTTGACACGGTCTTCGGGGGACAGATCAGTGGAGGTGGTGATGAAGTTGAGCTTCTCACAGGCGGGCATCATCCAGGCGCGGAGTCCTGCTAGCGCGTCCACGAACTTGTGAAGCTTCTGGTTAAACTCGGTCAGTTCGGTGAGCATCTTGTCCACCTTATCGATGACGATCCTCCTCTCATCGATCTCATTAATCTCCTTCTCCATAAACTCGCGCTTGTCGTCTCCTGCCAGGGTGACGATGGTGGTGAAGGCCCCCTTGATCACGGTGTAGATTTCCACGCCCGTCTTCTTGAAATCTTCCGCCTTCTTCTTCTTCCTCTCCAGCCAGTCTGTGCCTTTCTTGGGGTCGTAGATCCTCTTGTAGGTCTTGAATTGTTCCTCTAAAGCTTCGATGGGTGTATAAATGGCCTGTCGCTGCTGCTCGTAAACTTCCCAGTCCTTGAATGCGTCTGTGGGGAGAGAGCCAACAGGGATGGTGAGTGGTGGAGACGCTACCTAGTCGAGGGAAAGTTCACAGGAAAAGTCACAGGAAAAAAAATCACAGGGAAATAAGTTACAGGTAATAAAGTTACATCTTTATTAAACAAACAGTATTTTTACGTTATTTTGGTCTAATAGGCAGAATATGGAGGTTAGATTAGGTTAGGTTAGGTTAAGGCATGGCAGGTGGCACTTTTTATCCCGTAAATTTATGTTTTTTTTTCATAATTTTTTCCAACATTCAACATTACACTTCTCTCATCGCGTCACTGAATTAAATGACATATTTTCCTCACTCGTACTGAATTAATTCTCTTTCACCGTCAAATCATTGAAGTGAATGAAACTTCTTTCATCTCTAAATCACTGATATAAATGAAATATATTGGATGTTTTCATGTTTCAGGTATCTGGCTGTTACCTGTATAGTACATGAATCACCTGTGTATATTTTATTATTATTTACCACGTATATTCCTTCAAGGGGGCCACTACCTATTTTGTCATTATTATTATTATTATTATTATTATTATTATTATTATTATTATTATTACAAGTCATGCTTACATTAAACAATACAATAATATGTTCTTAAGAGTATTTACATTGTCTCCTCAGCATATATATCACCAGCCAGAGAACATAACATGACGTAAGGAAATTCTACGCTTTGTTGCCTCACGAAAAGTACATCACCACGCCATCTGTTGATCAAATACTGAACTGACCACAACAATAAACAATAAGAACAATAACGCGGGAATATTTAGCCAATGAGAAGAGGCCCTGGAAGAATTGACGTCATTAGTAGGCGGAGCTCAGTAACAAGCATAGAGGTAAATATGCTCGTTTCGCAATTTCCTTACTATACAAGGCCAAGGTATCAACCCTCTCGTAGGACTCGCTGTTTCTATTGGCTGAATGATCACGAGGTATATTCTGATTGGCTACAACAGATGTCAGACGTATGCTTTTCTAGAGACCAAAATATTACGTGTGCTTAGTGTGGAGATGCTGTGTGATTATTATTATTATTTTTATCATTATTATTATTATTATTATTATTTTAATGAACCTATAATTGAGATGTTAATATGGCAACAACCTAAAATACAGAGGCTGGTAGATAGGAAGTTATAGAACATCCAAAAAGAAATTTATATCCCCACACGCACTCACACTCACACACACACACACGCACTCACCATTCAGAAGGCTAATACGTATCTGGGCCTTTTCATTAGTGTCTTTCCAAGTCTCCTCCAATTTCTTAATCTCCCTCTCCAAGAAGGACGGGGCGTTGGGGTTAGCCTTCAACTTCTGGCCTCTCTTCATCAGTTCGTTGTAAATGGGTGATTGATTCTCGATGGTCCTTAGCACCTGTTGGGGGAGGAGGAGGGAGTGAGAGGTGGTTAGGTGTGGTAGATGGTGAGGGGTTTTGGTTTAGCCGTGTGTGTGAGTGATAGTGGGTGGGAGGTGATAGTGCGGTTAAGTGATGGTGTTAATGGTGATTGTAAAGATGGTGATGATATGGTTAACACACACACACACCTCCCCACGCACACAAACACACACACACACACACTCCCCACACACACACACACACACCCCCCCACACACACACACACCCTCCCCCACACACACACACACACACCCCCCACACACACACACACACACACACACACACACACACCACTCCCCCACGCACAAACACACACACACACACACCCCCCCACACACACACACACACCCCCCACACACACACACCCCCCACACACACACACACACACCCCCCACACACACACACACACACCCCCCACACACACACACACACACCTCCCCACGCACAAACACACACACACACACCCCCACACACACACACACACACACACACACACCTCCACACGCACACAAACACACACACACACACCTCCCCCCACACACACACACACACCCCCCTCACACACACACACACACCCCCCACACACACACACACACACACCCCCCCCCACACACACACACACACACACACCCCCCCCCACACACACACACACACACACACCCTCCCCACGCACACAAACACACACACACACCCTCCCCCCACACACACACACACACACACACACCCCCCTACACACACACACACACACCTCCCCCTCACACACACACACACACACACACACACCTCCCCACGCACACAAACACACACACACACACACATACACCTCCCTAAGCCAACACAACTCTTATGCTTGGCTGGTTCACAGAAGCTTAAAACATTGTAAACGTGAAGCCCAGCTAAGATTCCTCATCAGTGGAGGCCAACAAATGGTATAGAGAAGGTGTGTAAACAAACCCTGAATTGAATTTCATTAAGGGGTGAGGAGTACAGCCTGTTTGACTTAGATCTTATATAGTCAAAGGGTTGTGTGGGAGGGGGGTCATTCTCTCTCTCTGTGTCTTTAATTCTCTTTCTGTTCTTCTGTCTCTTACTTTGTCTCTCTCTCTCTCAGTAGCTCCCCACTCGTCCAAAACTCATAATTAAGTTCAGATAAAGTGTCTTTCTTCCACACCTTTATGTCTACAATACCAGCGGCCCCTCAGATCTCAGTTATGATAGCTTACTCCCGTTATATTTCGTTACAAAGCTAAAGGAAGCTAAGCGAACATATTCCTTTATACTCAGCTAATGGGAAAATAGGAAAACATATCATTCTTCATCTCGCACACCTAAAAAGGAAGCTAGAATAATCTTCATCTCCCAGAGCTAAAAAGGAAGCTAGATTAACCTTCATCTCCCACAACTAAAAGTGGGGAAGCTAGAATAACCTTTATATAACACAGCTAAAAGAGAAGCTAAAAAAACACACTTCTCTTTACGTCCCACAGCTAAAAAAAAAAAACCTAGAAATCATCCCACAGCTAAAAAAAAAAAGCTAGAAAACTTCCGCACCTAACAGGAAAAAAAACCCCCACCTGAGTTTCCACCCCACAGGTAAACAGGACACAGGGACACCCACCTTTTCCTGCTTGTCGATCTGCTCCTCACACATGTCCATGTTGTGGGGATGGATCTCCTTACAGGACAAGTGTCTCTGTTCGTTCAGCACCTTCATCACGGGGTGGATGTCGTCACCGAAGGCGTAACACTCAGAATAATGAACGACTTTACCTGCAGAAAGGGAGTCAGCTGGCCAGGTGTGTGTGTGTGTGTAGGGGAGGGGGGAGGTGGTTTAGGGGGGGATGGGAGATGGTGTGGGGAGGGGCAGGAAGGGGAGGTGTGGTTTGTGGGATGGGAGGTGATGGGACGAGGGGGTAGGAAAGTTGTTGTTGTTTGGGAGAAAATAGTGAAGGGTAGTGGTTGAGAATGTGGGGGAGACAGAGAGAGAGACCCAGCAGAGATAAAGTTACACTCAGTTGGTTCTCTCACTACACAAGGTTACCTATCAGAAGATTAATTGAGATAAGAACTTTAAATTAACAAAATAAAATTAAAAACTATGAAAAATAAAACCAAAACAACTAAAAAACAAAAGTAGAAGAAATAAAAGACGAATTAATAAAAACAAGAAAAAAGTGAAAATAAGAAAATAATATTGCAATTAAAATAAATACTAGTTTATATTAAAAATTAAATAAGATGAACAAAAGCAAGAAAATCAGGAAAATAAAAGAAAAAAACAAAATCAGAGTAAATAAGGGTAAAGAAAACTTAGACTAAAACTAAAATATAAATAAGGGAAAACAAAATTAATAATGTTATAGAAAGTAAAGTAAAATAAACACAAAATCATGTAACCCAAAAAAAAATCTGCAGTTTATTATACCAAGAATAAAAAAAATCAACGGTAGGAATAAGAGAATAGGAAGAGGTTAATAAAAGATAATTATACTTTGAGGAGAAATGTAAGTAAAAGAAACATAAATAATACAAGGGAAAGATAAGAAATTTAGTGATGAGGGATATGGGAAAATAAAAACAAGAATAAGAACAATGAGATGATGATAAAGATGGCGATGATGAGTGACGTAACACATGTAAACAACAGATGACGTCACGACATTGATCTATGACGACACAGCTAAGAAATGAATAAAGTCTCAACAACAGAATCTGCGGAGGTTGAGGCTTCGTGGATCCCACAATCAAGGCACAAAGAAGGTGGCTGGAGGCTAACTAAGGCTGCTGATAGCTCTTGCTCTGTACTCTGTAGCTACAACAGTCTCACGTGAGGCTCTGAGTCTTATTCACCCTCACTCTCTCAGGTGTGTGCGTGTGTGTGTGTGTGTGTGTTATACAAGGTGATCGAGAAGTCTATATGCACCTGTAATGAGTAACAATATGGCTGTTCTATATTGTATCTACACCGTTATACCTTGGTCTAATTTACGTAAATATTAGAACTGGTCAGAGTAAATATTGGAAGTGCATACCATTCCCAATAGCTACTGTAGGTAGAACAAAGTATATAACAATGTCGGTATAACAAAGAACAATATAGTGTTCATTTATACAGGTACACAGGAACTTTTAGATCACCCTGTATAGATGTTGAGTCCACACACACACACACACACAGAACAAAGTCTATATTTCTTGAGATTTTTTTTAGGGGGGGGGGTGGTATTTCATGCTCGACTGTGATTCTGTTTATTGCAGAGACTCACGTAATCTAATATTGAGGCAGAAATGTTATTACAGACCTGACATTTGGTTTGTGTAGTGTTGCCAGCTGTAAATAGAGTCAGGTATATATGTTGAGAGTCTGAAGACGCAGATATTAATAAACGTAACAACATATTCCTGGAGTGACTAAATATAAGGGATAATGTCTAAGGACGACGCCTGTACACTATCCTTCAAAACTATATTAACGATGAGAAGCAATGGTGGCGACGGACAGTGTTTTCCTCTCCTGGGGTTTTATATGAGGGACGTGTACAGGTCCTGCACACACTCACAACACCACGACAGTCTAACACACAGTCAGAGTGTGATTCTATCTCTGGTTAATGAGAGTTTACTTACAGCAGGGGGTGTTAACGGAGGTCTTCTACTGTGGCACGACCAGGGACGGATGACCTGATGGGAGGTGATGGGGGGGATGCTGATGTACTCACACTTTCCCTAACAGTAAGTGTTTGACATGAAGTACATGTGTACAGTACATACATGTGCTGGACATAAGCTGAAGGAGGTTTATAGTGTAACATAAGTGTGTCTATTAAACACAGACTCACAGACTCCATCATCTGGGTCTTGCTCCTTGAGAGTGTTGCCACCGGAGAAGTTACCAGCTTCAAGATGCTCCAGCTGAGAGGCTTACAGTTTGTAATTATTCCAGGGTGATGGAAACTCCCGAGTGAGAGGCACCAGCGTGGAGGAAGTCTTGCTGTAAGAACTTTCTTCTCCCTGGAACACCACCGCCAGAGGGTCCACTGCACTCTAGGGTTTTCACCAGCAACGATCCTCTCCATCCTGAAGGATTTCCCGTCTGGAGGAATTCCTGTACGACGGACTTAAGACCTTAACGAAATTTCAGATTGAGGGACTTCCAGCCAGCAGCTTCCAGAGCCTGAACGACTTCCAGTTTGAAATAAAACCCCTCTGGGCAATGATTTTGACAGAAGAAAGTTTCATCTGTGTGATCCACCTAAGAGAAGAATCTCAAGTACGAGAGTCGTCCAAAAATACTCTTCAGTTTGAGGAAGTTCTGTCATAAAGGACCATCAAGGAAAGTTTGACCTTCACCCAGAGGGATATCTAAGCTGAGAGGACTTGTAGAGTTCTCAAAGTTGAACATCCTGCAGAGTAAAGAACCTTCCCCAGACTAAGGATCCTACTACTACTACTTGAGGTCTGTAGGTCTGACGATTTTCTCTGGATTACGTATTTTCCAACATTCTCCTTAAATGACAACTCCACCATTAACTCTTATAAGATAAATCCACCGAGTACAAACTCCAACACAGATCACAAGACGCGTCAGACCCAGTCGTCATCACCTCCAAGCCTTTGTTAATTATATAAGTTACGAAATTAAAGACAAAAAAATACGTAAAATGTCTATTAAATTTGAGAAAAAAACAAAACAAGGACACTAAGCACTTTTTATCCATTTTGTTTTCAGTGACAAACCCCGTGATCTCAAATGAATAATCCAAGTGTTTAAAAGTTAAGGTAAATATTGCAACAAATAGAATCAACAAACTCCTAACTTTAACATCAAGGAGCACACGTGTCTTCAATACCTTTACTTTGAATTACTTCTTTGAGAGATGAGTAACCAGCGGGCTAGAGGACGCTTAACGAGACATTACCTCACTCATAAGGTCACAGAACACACGAGATATACTTCCTTAATCCGAAATACTTTGATATAACACGAGTTAGCAAGACTAATAGCTAGCGAGATAAGGAGATGAACGAGATAGCTCCCCCTAGCACCTTACACTCCCAAACGAGAGATAAACGAGACTCTAGCTGACGAGATAGAGAGCTTGAGCAGCGAGCGTGGGACATATATATATATAAAGAGACATCCCCTTCACTCCAGTCACGTACTCTGTGCCTCCATAGTAGGTCCCATGAGCCCAGTATGACGCTCGATCATAGCCTCCAGCTTCTTCTTCTCCTGGGCCTTCATAGCCTTGTCACGCCCTGAGAGGTTCTCGTCCCCATCGTTGCTGTGGGCCGATAGCTTCTCCAGCATCATGTCTAGCCATGACTTGGTGCCTTCCTTGTCCAGGTCACGGCAGAGAGACTGGTGAGAGAGAGAGAGAGAGAATAAAAAATTATTAATAAAAAATCAAATAAAAGTTTATTTTTTCTCAATCAATAAAACATTAAAATTTAAATACATATTATAATACATTTTTATACTGAGCATTATAACCAATGTTAATCTTATGTATACTTATAATTACTAATAACATAACTATGTATACCATTAATACCCTAAATGTATAAGATAGACTATACCTCTACTAACAAACTTCACAAGGAACTTCACAAAACTTCTATATGTATATGTATTCTTTATTCGTATACATTCATTATATACATTCAGTATATACTATACACCTCACCACCACCACCACCACTAACATCACCACCATCACCACTATTGTTATGGTAGTGGTGGTGGTGAAGGTGATGGTAATAGTGAAGGAAGTGGTGGTGATAGTGATGGTTTTAGTGGTGGTAGTTGTGTGGTGGGAGTTGTGGTAGTGGTGGTGGTGGTGGTGGTGGTAGTGGTGGTAGTGGTGGTAGTGGTGGTGGTAGTGGTGGTAGTGGTGGTGTGGTGAGGTGGTGGTGGGTGGTGGTGGTGGTGGTGGTGGGAGTTGTGGTAGTGGTGGTGGTGGTGGTGGTGGTGGTGGTGGTGTGGGTGGTGGTGGTGGTAGTTGGTGGTGGGAGTTGTGGTAGTGGTGGTAGTGGTGGTGGTAGTGGTGGTGGTGGTGGTGGTGGTGGTGGTAGTGGTGGTGGTGGTGGTATTAGTGAAGGTGGTGATAGTGGAAATGGTAACCTTCACTCTGCCTTCCTATAATAATGGTTCTCTGTTTCCTCATTGGTCAATCTTAAAAAGGTCTTATTAATGTGCCTTAGAAGGTCTTATTATCTGTTGTCTTTTTCGTTAGTTTGTTTATTCCCATTTACTCCATTTCTTCGTTAGATTGGTGTCTTAACTCGTTAGCTTGGTGCCATAGCTCGTTAGCTTGGTACCATAACTCGTTAGCTTAGCGCCATAACTCGTTAGCTTAGTGCCATAACTCGTTAGCTTGGTGTCTTAGCTCGTTAGCTGGGTATCATAACTCGTTAGCTCAGCGCCATGACTCGCTAGTGCCTTAACTAGTTAGCCTATTGCGTTTCTACGTCTCAACTCATGGTGTTATTTCCCCCTATAGGAAGTTACTGCAGGTGCTTCACTCCAGGCGTCAGAGAGAGTCGGTTTAGCCATCACTTAGCCCGGGTAAGGACTCTCCCTCAACAGTTATTAAGAGGAAGCTAGAATTTACTCTCCGTTCTTCCCTCTCGCACCGCAATTGTCTGTCGTGTAATGTGAGGGGCCGGGATGGACGCTAGCTATATAGAGTGTTGCTGTGTGTGTGTGTGTGTGTGTGTGTGTGTGTGTGTGTGTGTGTGTGTGTGTGTGTGTGTGTGTGTGTGTGTTTTACTGTGTTGTGTGTGTACTATTTTTTTTACGGTACAAGTGATTCTCTCAGGAAATTAAGCCATTAAGACCAACTACTCAACGTCAGCGTCAACGCCAAACCTGACACTGAGAGCAACATCCAACATTGACACCAACCACAATACTGACGCCTAACATTAACAGCAAACACTTTCTAACACAGATGCTAACGACGCCCACCCCTAGCCTCATCAGCCAACAAGCCACTAGTCAGACATTCAGCCACTCAGCTAACCGGGTGTTACTCCAGAGCTTCAGGCAATTGACGACCCACTCCTCCTCCTCCCACTAACCCTCTCCAAAACAATTTCTACTGGAGAAATATGAGACCAATAGCAAAAGATATAGAGCTGCTCCATAATAGGCTGGGCCAAGTCTTTCTCTAAATTGGACACATATTTTGGGAAATTTGATTCAGCTTGGAGGAGGAAGAGTTGGAGGAAGAGGTGGAAGAAAAAGAAGAGGAGGAGGAAGAAGAGGAAGAGAAAGAGGATTAGGAGGAGGAAAAGGAAGAAGAGAACGCCGCATCATTAGGTTTTCCTTCTCTGTGCTGCTGTGGTTGTATCCTGTGTCCTCAACGCTGCTGTGGTGATGTTATTTGTCTCTCTCTCACACACACACGCACACACACACACACACACACACACACACACACACACACACACACACACACTACTGTAGGCCGGAGTTGCCGAGGACGTCTTATATTTCCTTGAGAGGCATAGTTATGTTAGCTGCGTCACTCAGGCTTATTATTAAACCTTAGGATGGTTCTATATCTCCCTTTAAGAGTGGGTCTCATAAGCCTGACAGACCATTAGGGACAGTGTGTATACGGCACAATATATAATAAGACTTCGTTATACAAGGAGACAATATGGCCGGCACACCACTCGACAGCCTTTACACACCCTCAGCCGTAAATGGAGATACACCTTTTATTGGAGGGTAAAGTGGGTGTCTGGATCGAATCAGTGTCCCTTAAGATAGGAAACGAGTATTGTATCCACTCAGCCACTACACCATATCAGATACAGTGTGGGTAAAAAATTCGCTTCTTCTATAATACGAATAAGTGGAAATATTCATATACATAAACTTATACATACGTCAATATACATCGGTTAAAAAAAAACAAACTATATTTTCTCTCTGAATAATGAAGCAATATTATCAGGGAATATTTTAAGACCTTGACAGGTAATTTCACTTACAAAAATGTCCCCTCCCCTACCCCCACCCACACACATATATTTAAGGTAAAGTAGGAGTATTTTTCATGAGCCACCCTGTAGATATCGGCAGCAGGTCGCCTCAGTGTTGTGATACCGACAGCTTCTCCGATAGTGTGTTTTATTTAGTGAAGGTGGGAGTACTAGAGAGCCTGAACGGTGGCTATTAACCATGGTGTGTGTGTGTGTGTGTGTGTGTGTGTGTGTGCTCGCAAACACACACACACACACACATAAGATGAACACATGTGCCTAGAAACATATGTATAGATAGCAGATAAAATTAGGTGAGGACGGAGGATGAAGAGCTTATCATGATTGGATCGTCAATGACATACTTGACCATAGAATCTTACTTATAGTATATCACCACACCAGCAACAACCTATGCCACCTACCATAGCCACACCACAACAACCACACAACAACTACCACCACCACTACCACCACCACCACACCACCATACCACCAACAAACCACCACACTACCATCATACCACCACCACCAACCACCACCAACACCACCACCACCACCACCACAACCACACACCACACCACCACCACCACCCCACCACCACCACCACCACCACCACCACCACCACCACCACCCTACCACCCCACCACCACCACTACCACCACCACCCACCACCACCACCCACCACCACAACCACCACCACCACCACCACCACTACACCACCCACCACCACACCACCACCACCACCACCACCACTACTACCACCACCACCACCACCACCACCACCACCACCACCACCACCACCACCACACCATACCACCACCACCACCACCACCACCACCACCACCACACTACTACCACCACCACCACCACCACCACCACTCTGTAAATGAGCATATTTATGAAGATGAAGATAATATTAATAAAGCAAATAATAACCTCAAGTATAATTAATCATAACGTAATAAACTTAATCTCATATCATTATTGCAGGTGTGATTAAATAAGGATTAATTTATTTCTATTTAGTTATTTATTTTGGCACTAAAGTGGTTGTATTCATCTCAGTTTATGATGAAAGAATAATTTTTTTTATTCTCCGGTGAATTTAATTAGAATTTCTCAGGTAGAATTTATGACAACAATGGTTAAAAAAAATACTTGGCTCGCTCTCTGGTGTAAATTAAAGTGGTACATAAATGGATGGGAAGAAGAAGAAGAAAAGAAGAAGAAGAAGAAGAAGAAGAAGAAGGAAGAAGAAGAAAGAAGAAGAAAAGAAGAGAAGAAGAAAAAAAGAAGAAGAAGTAGAAGAAGAAGAAGAAGAAAGAAGAAGAAGAAGAAGAAGAAGAAGAAGAAGAAAGAAGAAGAAGAAGAAGAAGAAGAAGAAGAAGAAGAAGAAGAAGAAGAATGGCGGGGAGGGAGGAAGAAGGGAAGAGGCTGGGGGAGACGGAGGAGGAGGAGTATGGAGGAGGAGAGGGAGGAGGGGGTTGGAGAGAGGAGGGAGGTGGAAGGCGTGGAGAGAGGAGGAGGAGGAGGAGGAGGAGGGGTACAGCGAGGGGTACAGTATTCCTCAAATGCCAAACATTACTACTTCGTGAATCCTCCTCCTGTTGGTACAGTGGATATCCCTCGTAACCGAAGCTTTAAGAAGAGGAGTTAGATTAGGTTAGGTCAGATTAGTGGTTAGATTAGGTTAGATTAGGTTAGATTTGGTTAGATTAGGTTCGGTTCGGTTAGGTTAGGTTAGGTTACATTTTGTTTAGTTTGGTTAGGTAAGATTCGATTAAAATTATGTTATGTTATTATGTTATGTTATGTTTATGTTATGTTATGTTATATTATGTTATGTTATGTTATATTATGTTATATTATGTTATATTTATATTTATGTTATATTATATTATATTATGTTATTTATATTATGTTATGTTATATTATGTTATATTATATTATGTTATATTATGTTATGTTATGTTATATTATGTTATATTATATTATTTATTATTTTATTATATTATATTATGTTATGTTATATTTATGTTATATTATTATATTATATTATATTATATTATATTATATTATATTATATTATATTATATTATGTTATATTATATGTTATGTTATGTTATATTATGTTATGTTATGTTATGTTATGTTATATTTATTTATTTTATGTTATGTTATGTTATGTTATGTTATGTTATGTTATGTTATGTTATGTTATGTTATGTTATGTTATTTATATTATATTTATATTTATTATGTTATGTATATTATGTTATATTTATTTATTTATTTATTGTTATGTTATGTTATTTTATGTTGTGAATAATATGCGGGGTGCTGTAGATAATTAACAAAACAGAC